TCCTTGAAAGGTGATTTAGTTGTAAACTATGCTAGCCTTACAAGTGAAAGAATTAGTGATTGATATTGAAGTGATTGAATCCTTATTAGATTTGAGTTTGATATATTAATCATTAATAATTCTTTTTAAATTTGTTATGAAGTGAGTTACGTTTTGCTATAGATGGATTCATGGAGGATCATTTAATGATCACTTGTTGAATATAACTTTGTTGTGCTTAACTTTTGGATTGATGCAGAAATGCTCTTCATTATCTTTGGCATTATGAAGTTTGGCTTATGGATGTGTTGAGGAAGATATTATGGGTTACACTATGATTTCTTTTTTAGTATTGAAATTAGTTCATGCAAGACTTGTGATCATTATTAGGCAAGACTTGGTTATAGGTTTCTTCAAGGTTTTGGTTCCTTGAGTTTTGTGCTCATTGTTTCATTTGTTAAAAGTTGTTGGGGAAGGCATTTTGGCTCCTAGCTTTAATGTCGAAGTTAGTATTTGCATCAAGTAATCATTGGTGATGATTGATTATCATTTAGGATAATTGATTATCCTTGTTAGAGGTTTTGCTTGATTATTATTAGTACAGAATGGTTTGCCATTCTTCAAGATGGTGGATTCTTTCTTTGACAATGATTCTGCATATCTCTTTTTGATGGGATGATTGATGATCTTTTATGATGGTTAGTTGTTCTCTTTGATGGCTTATGGCTTTTTGCAATACCACATGTTCTTTGTGGTTTACTCTGGATTGGTTTCTTAGGTTTGAGATATTGATAGAATGTTGCTAACACTTACTTAAGCAACTTGAGTACCTTTGTATTGTTGACTGAGATTTATTCAGATTGGTTTCTATGATAATTGACATGAATAGGTGTTTGTTGGTCTTACCACATTCATTCTGTTCTGTTGATTGTTGCTCGAGTTAGTTCTAATAGATTATGATGTTATTTCCTTTGGGTGATACATTCGCGAGCATTGTGCTTGTCGATTAAAGATACTTTGTGTTCTTTGAGTTATCTTTGGTAAGTTGTTTAGCATACTGTCTACAATCATCGGTAGTTAAGTTTTCTCATTGAGTTTACTTGATGATATACTTACTATTGAATTTTGTTGGATGATGAATCCTATGTTTTCTAACTATAGTGATCTTGGTGGTTCCTATACTGTAATACTGTTTTATTGGATAATAACTTACTTGGAATACTTTTGTGTTCTAATCTAAGTTTTATTCACTGATAATTAAGTCTCTAAGATATCATTGTCTATAACTTTGATATTGTCCATCTATTGATCTTTGAGTTTGGGCCAGTATAGGCAGATTGGCTTCGGCACTTTGTGTGCATGGTGAAATCTCTAGTCATGAAGTAGCTACTGTTCATTGGTCACATCACTCACCTCTCTGTCGATGTTCCTTATTCCGTTAAAAGGGCATGACCGTGTAAACAACTCTAACTGCCTATTTACAGTAGTTTATCTAAACTTTACCGACGAGTTTGGTTTCTTTGCTCAAGAGGGTTAGAGCCTTTAGCTTCTCTCTCTATATCCCTATGGGTAGGGGCGTATCACACTTTTGTAACCTAGGTGACACCCAGAGCAGCAAGGGTGGCTAACTCCGTTGGTTATTTCCTTGTCGGTGACGGCTGGAAGGTGTCTAAGTTGGTAGCGCATCCGCGTTAGACAAAGAAATTGCCTCCTAACTCATTTAAGTTGGTGCATTTCTCACATAGTATGAATACCATGAACTTTTTCTGGAGTTATTTCCTTAGCAGTATTTTAGACTAGAGTATGCATCAATGAGGATGTCAATCTTCCCTAGGGGGGGAAAGTGTTGCGAATGTAACTTCGGGTATCAAAAGTTACTTGTCAGCCAGTCCTTACAGACACTCTTTCCTTACTGCCACGATACCAGGAGGCCTGTATTGTTAGACCCTTTATTCATCCCTCTGGTTCAAGTATTAGTAAACTGGACTTTGCATCTATACTTGGCCGGATGAGCATAAGGACAGAATTCCTAAGTGTTTATTGAGCCAAACATATTTGGCCCGGCTTTTTAGTTCTCTTTTGCTCTGTCTTACACTGGTTTGACAAGAACCCTCGCTTATTGAAACTAATCCCTTAATATTGTTGGATGATAGCTTACCATCTTTGCCAAACACCCTCGCTATTATACCTTTTATGTTAGTCTCATTTCGGTCCCAAATGTTATTTATGGAAAGTGTCTAAATTTGCTCATTTGGCATATCTATAGAATGTAGAGATTGTTCTGAACACAGTGGTGTTCATCTCATGTCCAAATTCGTGTTCTAGCGCCATTCC